TTTCTGAAATTTCCAGTCCCAATGACGAACATTTCGTTTGAAGTCCTCGTGATCTTGCAATATAGTCTGAAACATTTTCATTTTCTTTAATTTCAAGATTTTTTACTTCGCTATTTGCATCGATTTTGCGATCTTCGGTTTTACCAGAATATGATTTGAACTTTTTTCCCATAGAATTTTTGCATTAGTTTTGTTTGCGAACTGAAGACTTAAGTCACCAGAAAGCGAAGTTGAATGTAGGCTACTGTGTCATCATTGTTTAGTGTCCATTGTTCCTGCAACTTTGTATCAAAAACTACATTAAAATTTTTACTCAAATGTCTCAGCATAATGAGTTATAGAGTTACTGTTGGATACTAATAACCATTACTGGATATTATATTTAAAGACTAATGCAAAAGTAGTATTACTAAAATAGTTATAAATACATCTAAGTTTTACAATGGAATGAATATCAGAGTAATTNCAGAGTAATTCATAGTAATAAATACATAGCAATAAAAAAAATCATAGTAATAAAAAAAATCATAGTAATAAAAAAAAGCATACAGTATTATTACAGTGCAATAAGGTAATGAAAATGCCTTACTTTCTCTTTGGCGGGCAGTAGAAACAAATTTTAAGATCACTTATTCTTGGCTAATATCTTTGGTTATCTTCAAGCACAATTAAATTCAGAACAATGCATCCCACTATAAACAGCAACATTGAGAAAAAGTCTTAAATGTTCATAAAATTTATTGCATATTAAAATTTCATCAAATTCTTTGCAACCATTAAAATAAGTACTTAATCACGCCAACAGGTACAATAAACTTTTGTACAGGGTAAAATTAACATTCAACACTGGCTATAAGGCGATTACAGGCAACATTCTTATAACCTTAAAAATATACTGCTTAAAGAAAAAATATGGTTTAGAAATATTTATTGTTGTAGCTGTTCATTGCTTTAATTTACTGCTATTGAAATTTTTTTTTACAAAAATTACATAATAAATATTTTTGAATTTTTCCCATCTAAAAAAATGTTCATGTTTAACTTTAGTTACTATGGCTTAAAATATTAAAGAAGAAGTGAAAGTATACAAGAAAAACATTGTTGCTATCATATAAAGTCAATACATATTCATTCAGATGTGCATCTCTTCAGGAGTCAAAAAACGTTGTGTTTTTAAAGAAAAAAAGAAAAAAATGAAAAAAATTTTACATTTACAATAGAAATGGCACAAAACGAATGTGACACAAAGTGATCAAGGAAATAAAAAATAACAATAAGCATTAAAAGTATCAAAATTGGAAATATGTGAGACACATGTGATCATTGTCCTAAAGGGGTTTAAGTTTGAAATATGCATTATGAAATAACATTGTATAAAAAAAAAAAATGATTGAAAAAACTCTCAGGGAAAAAAAAGTGGAATCACGATAGAACGAAGCGTGCTAAAAGTGATTTTTGAATACTAACAAACT